TCATGAGGTTTGCAGGCAAATGGATGGATCTAGAAAAAAATCATCCTGAGTGAGGTAACCCAGACTCAGAAAGACAAATATGGTATGTACTCACTCTAGGAGGATACTAGATGTGGAACAAGGATGACTGAACTGCTACTCACATCACCAGTGAGGCTACCTGGAAAACAGGACCCCAAGAAAGACACAAGGATCGCCCAATGATGCAGAAATGGCTGAGATCTACATAAACAACCTGGACATGAGTGGGAAGGGTTTTAATAAGAGGGAGAAAGAGATAAGAGAGGATGACAGGGTCGGGGAGGGTGAAAATGACTGAAATTCAAATGTTCCATTGCATTTATATGTCATATTTTCTCATGGGATGAATATGATCAATTATATTATATATGAATATGACAATGTCACAAGGATACCTAATATTTTATACAATTAATATATGCTAGTCAATATATATATATGTATATATATAAACAAAACCAAGATTTGATTGTCTTGAGATGCTACAAGTAGGCCCTCTTCCAAGAAACGTGTGCACATGTGCGTGTGCATGTGTGTGTGTGTGTGTGTGTGTGTGTGTGTGTGTGTATATATATATATATATATGGATATTTTTATCTCATACTTGATAGCCAGAGAGATCTTTCTCTGTATCAATAAGAGATTCATATATTTTATTGATATTCTTTTTTAGCATTAGAATGCTTATTGGGGCATTATCTATAATATCAAGACAATGGAAACGTTGTATGTTGTGGGAGGGTCCCTGAAGGCTTTACGGCAGGCAGGGAAAAACAATCAGGATCAGTTCAATTTGGGTAACCAGTGCTAGGCCAGGACTTCTAGAGTCTAACCCAGATCATTTTACTTTGGCCATATTTAAGCACAACATAATTTTGAAATAAGTATTCACATAACAATTAACTCAGTCCCATTTGCACAACAATCTTAAGACATGTTTACATTGAAAGTCTTTACAAAGTATATCTGGCTTCTTTCACAAAAATGGGTAGGTACAAAAAATGGATTGACTCAGAGATAAAGCTTTATGGTCTGGGGAGAATGACTGAGGTGAACATAATGCCTATGGGAGTCAGGATTTGGCCTGGCCCTAAGACAACACAGAAGTCACTTAGGCTGTTGTATAAATGACATTCTCACAAGGATGAGTTGTATGGCCTAGAAGGTTATGGCTCAAGGTTTTAAGAGGAAAGTGTTGGTTTTTATGAGGCGGTACAATGTTATTCATTAAGCGGCGCTGTTACTGTGTGAGAAAAGCAACGGGGCACAACAAAACCTACTATAAGAGTTTTATTAGGAGAAGGGAGGGACAGAAGAGAATGTGCTTAGGCCTATGGAAGACGTGTGCAGGAAGCGGGGTGAGAAGAAAGGAGAGGAGTCTGTGTCCTGCTTTTTATGGATTCCCCTACACATGCACATGTGGGCTTATGGAGCTACACCACGCAGGCACATAGATTGCGTGATCACGCTGCATACAAATTATGCAATCGCACAGCACACAGATTACATAGGACACAAAGCCCTGGAGTAACTAAACATCTGAACAACGCATGTGTGGTCATGTAGCTGGGGGAGTGGCCAGGAATTCCAACATTTCAGACTCTTTGCTTATTATGGAAAAAAAAGGCAGGTGAACAAGAGTGGGGGTGCCATGTCTCCCCAAAACTGCTTCCAGCTGACTTGGTGGGCATCAGTTAACTCTTGGGGAGTAGGGAAGGGGGCTTTGAGGTAGCCAGGCATCCTGGGGTAGTGGATTGTTGTCTGTTGCTTTGGGAGTTGTCTGACAAGGTGCTGTCCAGGTGGATTCAAGCTGGCTCTGGAACTCACTGACCTGTCCAGGTGGATTCAAGCTGGCTCTGGAGCTCAGAAGAATTTTTAAACATATTAAGAAGCAGCCATGCAGCCGGGCAGTGGTGGCGCATGCCTTTAATCTCAGCACTTGGGAGGCAGAGGCAGTTGGATCTCTGTGAGTTTGAGGCCAGCCTGGACTACAGAGTGAGTTCCAGGAAAGGTGCAAATCTACACAGAGAAAAACCAAAACTCTGTCTCAAAACAAAACAAAACAAAACAAAACAAAACAAAACAAAACAAAACAAAACAGAAGCAGCCATGGAAAATTTAAAAATCTTAAGCTGGTGACCATGATACTGTAATGTTTAGTACTGTGCAGTACTGGTTAGTGTTAGTGAGAGAGGGGGATATTTGTAGCATGCTTTTAATTTTTATGTGAGATAAGCCTTATCTGAGGCAGATTTTTTTTTCTTCTACAGGGGAGAGCGAGAACACAGTTCCCCACTACCACAAAGTATGCAGTCAACCTTCTCGAATTTGGGGAAATCGCAGGGTTCAGCACATCTGGAGTGCAATGAATAAGTCTCACCCCAAGAAAACCACCTTTGTGATCATGGTATCTCTCCTGCCAGGTAAGTATGAGACAGATTATTTTAAGGCACATGTTTTCTTTATTAGTTTAGCATCCAGAAGACACAGGTGACTAACTGCTGAGGGCATTTAACAGTAATAGATTGCTATATTAAAAGTCTGTTTGTTTGCAGAGTCCAGACCCTTTTTGGTCTGGGGGTGTAAATACCTTTGGACTGTTACTGTTCCTTACCGTCTGGGTATACTTGATGGTACTTGGCCTCCAGCTCTATGATCGTCCTGTAACAATTAGCTGAGTAGTTAATTAGAAGAGGGAACCAAGAAGTAAGAGCTTGTGGGGTGAGACCTCATTCTTCTGGAATTGGTGACAAGGCAGTGGATCCTGGTGTCCTCTGCAACTTGAGAGAGAGCAGGGCCCTGTCTGTGTCCCTGTGCATGAGGAGAAGAGGCACTGCTGACCCGTCTGGAGGGAGGCACATGGAGGGAGCAATGAAATAAAAGCTCCTACCTTAGCTAGAAAATCTCTTCCCACTAGGTACCCCTGAAAGTACAATTAAGTGGTGGGATCTGGTGAGGTGGGTAGGGCTGTCCCTCTACCCCATCAATGGGGAAACGAGGAGAGGTGGGACCCCAAAACTCCCTCAGGACTGATTAAGTGGCTGAATGTCCAAAAGGAAGGAAATGGATCACCCCATGCTGCAATGGCCCTGTGAGCCCGTGACCAAGCATAGGAGACCTGTTGGAGGTCTTTGTTTGATGTCTCCGTGCCACAAGGTGCACAGGGGCAGTCAGCTGACCAATGTCGCTCTTGGTGGCACTTCAGACAAGTCTCAATTGATGGCCCCGTGTGGAGCAGGGCATGCACAAGCTCAGTGGCCTCTTCTACCACACTTAAAAGAAGGACCTGGAAGCCTTCAGGCAGCCGCTCAGATACGGTGTGCCAGCACATGGCAATTCTGTTTATGGGCTTTCTCATCTCTCCCATGGTACACCTTAAATGCCACTGCTAACACTTCCATCTATGGAGTCAGGAGATTCTCTCCTGACACTTAAGTTTAGCCCTGATGTCAGGGATGCTCTGTGAGATAAAGTGGGTCATAAGGAGCTGTCTGCCCTCTGAGCTTTCGGGATCTAAGAGAGCCTTTGTAAATGCCATTCTAAAAGATGAGACAGATTTTATTCCTTATCTTGAATTATGTTTTTTAGTTTTTGATAGTTTACTGGTTTGAGGGAAGTCTCTAAAGACTTGCCAGGAGGCAAGTTATAAAGTGGTCTCTGGCTAGAGAGCCATCTGGGTTATTATAATCCCAATGTGGGTCCTGATTGGAAACTCATTTGCATGCATCCTAGCCTGCTTCCAGACCTGTCCATGCTTCTCAAGACAGCTTGAAAATGGGTGAGAGGAAGAATGAAGGTGGGAGCCAGAGTTAGGCAGTTGTAACAGCCTGCCCAATACCAGAGAGCAGAGTGGAGGTCAGATAAACAGAGGTCCTTTGGAGTCAGACATTCCTCGGGTTCAGGAATGCATGTGGGCAGTAGAGAAAGAATCAAAAAGGGAGGGTTCAGAACTTAGGTAGAAAGCTTGGGGATAAAGTAACTTTTCATTTGCCTGTTCGCTGGCAGAAGTTAGATAATTCCCATGAAATATTGGGATCCAAGCAGCTATTACATGGACAAATTTATTGGTATCCCAGGGATATTTTCAGAGGTATTTCAGAGGAGGAGTGGTGCTAAGAGAAAGAAGCTTATGTCCCATGACTGTAGCTGAGAGAAGAAAATAAAAAACTGAAATAACAAACAGGATCCAAGACTCCAATCTCAGGCATCTCCAGGATCAGGGAGGATCGGCAGTTGGCACAAGTCATTCAATGCTTCATCAAGCCAGTGAATGAGGGCCAGGGCATGTGTAGGAGGAGGACCCCCAGGGGGTCAAGAGAGAATGAGTCATGGCTTACACAGCCGGAGGATCCCCAGGAATCTGACAACAACGAGAAATATATCTCAGGCTGCAGTTGTGTGAAATGGCGAGGGATTGGAAAGGGAAAACTCACCAATCTGAGCAGTGGGTATTGTGCAGAGTGGTCTGGTGGCCGAGCAAATGAAAAAAGTGGGCAGTCCTAGACTGAGTAAAACCTTGGCACAGGTTTCCAGGCAAAGAGCGCTAGGCGGGCCTGCTTGGTCTCAGCACCAATGTTGGTTTTTATTCCAAAAGAAAGGGTCTGGAATAAATAAAATATAAATTCTAGAAGATATGGGTAGGGCCTGGCTCAATAGGTAGCAAAGGATTACTGGGTGGTAAAACTACATTTCCCCCCAACATTCTGGGAAAACAGCTAAGCACCTCATTCTATTGAAGAGATAAGCTGTGTGTTTAATATTCCTGGCTTCTCCAGTACTTAACTGTGTGCACAAGGCCTTTTTTGCTCTCTAGAGTATGCAACATTGTATGTTCACCAATAAGTAGATGTTTTAATAAGTTGTGCTATGTTCCAAAGCAACTATATTCTTCTGCTATTATAGAATAAATTAATTACATTCATATTCATGACTAGAAAGAATATTTGTGGTGCATTGAGTTAATTACACACATGTACACATAAAACAACTACTGAGAAAAGTGTGCACTAATTAAAGCAAAGTAGGTTTTCTGAATTTGAGAGAGGGAGGAAAGGTGTATTTATGAAATTTTAGTTTTCATAAGATCATAATATTTCATCCCATTGCTTCCAGCAAGTATATGCTAGTTTTTTAATTCTGGAAGAATGTTTCATCACAAATCTGAAAACTGTACAAAGATGAAGTTTTTATTTAAAGGGGAAGTACCAGTTGAATGATGTGCTTTATATCAATATCACCAATAATTTGCACTTACAAAAAATCTTGCCGGGTGTTGGTGAAGGCGGCGGCGGCAGCGGCGGCCACGGCGGTAGTGGCAGCTGTGGCGGCGGCTGTGGCAGCAGCGGCGGCTGTGGCAGCGGCG